CGCAGTCGACTGGACATGTTGTCAGTCTCATCTGCGTCAGGCTTTCTCCCGGAATGCGTTCGCAAGCATGTCCACGCGGCGCTTTGCGCTGGGGAAATGTGCCCTAAACCACCACGAGTACACATACGCCCACAGGTGCGGGCAAAATGCAGGTGTGTTGCCTGGCTTGCTGCTGCCGTTCAAGCTCTTCGGGACATATTGTTTGATGGCAGACCAGCGCTGGTCAATCAGGCCAGTGTTGACATTCACCGTGCCTCGGCCACTGATGCGCTGCTTCTCGGCAAATTGTCCCTTGGAGTGGACAACATACCGACGCTTCAGTCCATGCTCCCGGGCTAAGCGCGCATAGAGCTGTGCGCCGTCGGTCACAAGTAAGGACGTCACCTTGCCCTTGTCCGTCTCTTCGCTCACGACATGCTCCAGGCCTTTGCAGCTTAAGACGTCCGCCCTGCTTTCCACGGGGCAGACAGCATTGTGCGCAACTTGTTTCACCGGCATCATGTACACGACCATCCGTGGTGGCTTCTGGTTCTGTGGCCTTTCCACAAGCCCCCAAAGGGCAATGAAATGATTATGGCCGCTCCGTTTGTATAACTTCAAGGCTGTACCATCTGCTTCCACGATGCCACTGAGCTGGACTTTCTGCATGAGGCGGTATCCCACAAACGCTTCTTTCTGCAGAAGAAACTGAAACAGGCTCCTGGAGGAAGAGGAACGGCTGACACCCACGCGTTTGCAGATGTCCTGCAAATTGGGCACCGGGCGCTCGGTAAACTCTTTGATGAAGTCCAATATCTGCGGAAGAGGCATGCTATATTTCATTTGTGGCAGGTGTGTGAAGCGAATGCAGGAGATGGCATTGCCGCACTTTGTGCCACGAAACCATACGGTGTTCAGCTGCCTTCCTTTTCTCTGCAGCCACTCTGTGTGCTTGCGTCTCTCTGCCGCAGATCTCCCCTGCGTGGCATTCAGAGGCACACTGCACACACAGCTGTGCTGGCAGTTAGGACAAGGGAAGCTAGCCCTGCTTCCCCGCACACCACTTTTCACGAACCCGCGCTGTTTCAGCTCTGTCCAAGCCTTGCCTATGGCATCTACATGCAAAGCCGCCTGAGCCAGCTTCTCATTCTTCGTCTTTCGTTTCTCTGTCCGTCTTCGTTCATTCCAGGTCTTTCCAGTTCTGCGCTTCACCTTTCTCCTTGCAGTGGAAATGCCACGGGTCCCGCGGTGAACCTGCCTCACTCGACGGCTCTCTGCCTTCTTAGCACTTTTGCGAGACCCATATCTCACCTGGATGCCGCAGACAGCAAAAGAGCTGGCACCCTGACTCACGGCATCTGCCACTTTGTCAGCACTGTGCTTGCGCTGCACTGCCTTGAAAACTTTCTGGGCGAGCTTCGGGCATGCTCGCACGTTATGCCCAGGGCAGTGGCAGAACTGACAGCTTTGGCTTTGCCATTTCCGTTTTGGCATGGCTCCTACATGTCGCGAAAAATGAACCAAAATGGCTACATTGTTTTCGCGG